TCTCCGAACGTCGATCATTAGAAGGATAGAAGAGGGAAGGGAAGAAACCGTAACACCCCCAGCAAAAAGGCTCAAAGTGATGTCTAGCAGAGAAAACTACTACTATTACTACTACCAACAGGTAAAGGAATGCTATACTTAGCCTTGCATCGTCCATAAAAATTCATCATGGAGCCACTTGTCGTACCTGCGTTAAGATGCTGACTGCGGGACCGTGGCATTATCGCTTCCAATCGCCATTCTAAATGTACACAATCTCACAGTACAAGAGCGGTGGCAAAGGAAATAGATTTCACAAAGGCACTTCATACTTGGTTCCAGACCTGGTGACTCTGCCATTTGGCTCGTACTTATTTGAATGCTATATCGATGGGCATGAGAGGCGGTCAGCACACTCTTCTATTCCAATGCAAGTTCAGAACTGGAAATACTTCCTGATCAGGAGGAATTGCCGAATTTGATTATTTGTGAAGCATTTTATGCGTTTTGCACAGCATCAACGGCGTTGAGATGGCCGCTGTTGGGTGTTAGGTCTGTTGGACACGGATTTTAGTTGCGACCATTTAAGTGGATGGATTGCCTTTGCAGGGTGGACTGACCTCTAGACAATACCAGCTGCTCCGATTTCTTTCTATTTGCTGAATAACCGTGTTGTAGGCAAAGAAAGCATTCTTCTACGCCTTTAGCAAGACTTATTAGACTTTACAGGAGCTGTGTAATACTCTGATTAATCTTTCAACGTCTTAGTTGGGTTCGCCAGACACTTAAATCTCCATGATTGACTTTTGCTGGTTCACCTAGTCGCCAAGTCATAACATTCGCCTCCAGTCCTGCCTTTCGCCGGTAACACTGCTGCAGTACTGTTGATGAAAACGCATGATACGAAACTGGGCATAAATAATGTCTTCCCACCAGTAATAGTAGCTCCTAGAGTAAAATAGGGCTTAAATTTTTGTTAAAATCGCACTTTACACAAACTTTTATGGTTATATTTACCTACGCCAATTTCTTCGCTTTTATAAAGTGCCTATGTAAATTCAATCTGCACTAACGTCACCGTCAGTAAATCGCAATAATAAAGCGAGTGACGTTGGTAGCACATCAATCA